AAAGGGGGGGAGGGCAAAATAAGGGTATTTTCAGACATGCAAAGACTAAGTCTACACCCAAAGAACCTAAGATAATTATTAAAGAATGAACTTCAATAAGAGTGAACCCAGAGGAAAGGTGCTGGCCCAGAGAATGGTGCCTTTAATAACTGATAAAGTACATCAGGAATTTAATAAACTTGCTATGAAAGAAAAAAACTGATTTCAACTTTTAAAGAGAAACTGGTTTCTATGAATGACCAACTATAATCTAGGGTGCCTAGGGTTGATAGAGTCTAGTTCCTGAGTTATAGGAGAATTTTATTTTATTAATTTATTTATCCTAGTTATAGGCAAAATTTAAAAAGCCCATGAAAATAATGGAATTTAAATTCCTCTGATTCCCATAGAACCCAGAGGTAGGTCTCATAGAGCCTGAAAGTTAAAGACGTACTGACTCCTTACCTGCACCCACAAAGCGCTTGTGTTCTGGCCCCTGACCTCCTTCTCTCTGCTCTTCTGCCTCTCTCTTCATGCTCCAGTCACACTGGCCTTCTTTCAAACCCACCTCTTTCCCACCTGTTTTTGTACATGCTCTTAGGCCTACATTGCTTTCCCTTCTACAACTCACCTGGCTAATTTCTACTCTACTTTTGGGATTTAGCTCCCATGTTACTTCCTCAAAAGGGCCTTCTCTGACTACCTTCTTCTTCCCCCATCTACAATCTGTTATGGTACATTTATTTTGTAAGCTCCGTGAAGGCAAGGGTCACGTCTGCTTTATTCACTATACCCAGTGCCTTGCATGGTGCCTGGCACAGAGTGAGTATTCAGTATATATGTGTTCAATGATGAATGATTCTAAGGTCTCCAGGGGAGCCATATGACCCAAGTGTCAACACTAACCACAATCCTGTTGGTGCTGAGGGTCCTGAGATTCACCCGTAAGCTGGATCTCCATGGGTTGAGGCTGGAGAGATGTTGCTTCCTTAGCTGGATCCAGAGGCTCCGATGTCTCAGAAAGCACTTCCTGTGCACAGGTCTGGGTTGAAACCTGAGAACAAGCAGGCTCATTTGGGCATCTGAAGGGCCCACAGTCTACATGATCCCGAGAGCCCATAAAGGATCAGCCTGGATGCCCACTCCCAACCATCCCTGCACTGAGCACAGGTCCCTTTCTACCTGCTGGTCTGGTTCATCCAATTCCTTCTCCAGATCTTCCAGCGCAGCCACCGCCTCCTCCCCGCTCTCCGGGTGCCGCTCCCGCACCCAGGCCTGCAGCTCCTCGGGCAGGATGGTCAGGAACTGCTCCAGCACCAGCAAGTCCAACATCTGCTCCTTGCTGTGTATCTCAGGTCTTAACCACTCACAGCAGAACACCCAGAGCTGGCTCAAGGCCTCACGGGGTCCAGGAGTCTCCTTGTAGCAGAACTGTCGGAAGCGCTGGCGGAATAGCTCCTGGCTGTTTGGGCTGCTCTCCTGTGGGCCGGATCCCGGAACCTTGGCAGGACCTTTTTTGTTGTCTACTCTGAAGAGGCCCTCTGGCTCTTCAGGAGCCAGTGGAAGTAACACTGCAGCCATTCCAGCTCCAATGGTCAGAGAGGACGGTAACGAGGGTTATCTTTCAGGGAACACTCCTAAGGTTATAGAAACCACAGTTAAAAAGATAGACCCACACACGCTGATTAAATGCTTGAACTTACTAAGCCTAATGTTTCTGTTTCAGAAGAGCAAGAAGGCTTGACCCAAATTTAAAAAAACATGTTTAAGTAATTCAAACCTTTTTCTAAGTAGAGGGAATGTTTGTCAAGAAAGAGCATTTTTCATTATATTGAGACTACTGTTGGACCCCTGCTTTCCAAAAATAACACCAAAACAATCCATTGATAAGGGCAAGCTGAATTTATTCTTAAGAATGCTACACTACCTTGACAGAGTTACTTAGTAGTATCTCCCGAGGACGAAGGCAAAGTCAGGATATTTGTGAGGTTTCAGGGGTTTAAGACAGATCTTTCAAAGCAGAACGAGGTTTGGAGAAGGATCATGACAACAGTTTAGAACTGACGAACACAACAAGGTGAAGGTTTTCAGCTGGAGGTTTCAAAAAGTCTGGATCAAAAAGTTGGGAGTCTGATAGTCATTCAGGTGGATTTTTTGAGGGGTAATTTCTTGAAACAAATATGATTATTTGCAGCTTTATCTTCTAGGGCAAGAATTTCCTGGAATAGTGTCATGTTGATAAAGATAGTGGAATAGCGTCATATCTAGTGTAGACAAATGAATAGTAAAGTCACCTTAACCTAGGGAGGTAGTAGGCTGTGTGGGTGTGGATGGTTTCAGTTTTCCACGTAATAGCAGACTTAACAGGGCCTGTCTGTTGAAACGTGGACCACTTCATCAGCATGGTGGGCCGCGGGGAAGGACGTGGGCTGTGGATTCCGGAAGACCTAGGCTTGAATCGTGTCGTGTTCTCCTATGTGTAGTGGCTTAACCTTTCTAAACCTCTATTTCCCCCCTCTGTAAAAATCTTACCTTTCTTTTTAACGTATTACTTTGAAACACTTTTGAATTTAAAGAAACTTCCCCAAATGGTGCAGACAAGTCCCTGTGCCCTTCACCCAGCTGCCCTAGCGTTAATTACTCGCATGACAGCAGCCCAGTTAACAAGACCGGGAAAGGAGCCGGTGAACGAAACCTTCCCTGCAGGGTTGCTCTGAGAGTGCGTGCGGACGGGGCGGCATTAGATTCAGAGCTCGCCCCGGTGACACCTCAGGACCGCGGCACTGCTCGCCGGGACCCCGTCATCTGGGCGCTGGCTTCGGAGCCCTGCCTCGGTTTCGCGGCACCGAGGCCCCTCGCGTGTCTTGTGCGCGCCTCTCACCTGCTACCCGCTCGGCATCCTCCACACACAGCCGAAGGTGTGTCTCCCGGCCCCAAGGATCAGGTGAGGGCTTAGGTGAGCCGGTTTAGGGGCCACTCAGGGCGCGGGACACGGGGACTCGCAGCGTCCACGTCTTCCCAGAACGAGACAGCACGGCGACTGCGCCAGCCATTCACCCCGTCCCCGCGCCGGCGAGCAAGCACGGCGGTCCCGGCTCGGGACGCTTTGCTGTCCGTCCCCAAGCCGCAGGGACCCGAACTCCGGGGACGCG